TTTTTAAAGGAGATCTTTACATTAGGCAACATATAACCCATGACAATAGTGGGCTGCTCATCTTGTAAACATTTAAGCTATGGTGTCTTTCCTTGAAACCCTGGGGTAAGCAAAGGAATGGGGCACATGGGAGGAGTCCGGACAGACTAATGGAAAGTCTCAGAAGTGGCTGGGGTTGAAGGCTGCTGTTGCAGCCCGCACCCGCATATTCGTGAAAGACCTTGTCTTGAAATTCCCATCTCTGAGATTCATCGTAATGCATTTGGGGGTAGCAGGGGTGTGTAGGACCACTTATCCACTATCGAGAAGGCCAAGCCGCCTCTCCTGGTTTTTCCATGCCCTGTTCCACACTGCTGTTGTCATTTCCTAAAATGGACAGGGAATACATCACCAGATTATCGAGAAGACAGGCATGAAAGACCCATTGTACCATGAAGCGCAAATCATGGCTTATATGGATGAGGAGAGCCAAATGGAAAATTAAATTAAGTTCTCTGAATTCATGCGCTGAACATACTAAATCAAGGGCTGACAATCCCAGGTCTTCAAACACACCACGTCATTAGCAGCACCATTTAACATACTCACGCTTATATTACTTCTTGGCTCCAGAACCAGAGTCACTTTCATTTGCCCTTCTAGGTGCAGGTGGCTGAGATGGAACAATTTCTCTCCCATCATTCTCTCTCGGGTCATCTTGCGGGCAGCGTACAGGCGGAAGCGGATGGCACAGGCAGCCACATCTCTGGGCTCCAGCTTGGTGAAAGTGACCTTCTCCTGGAAGACGGGGTTGGGCCCTCTCTGTATGCTCGTCCTGCCCCTCTGCTTCTTACTGGGCAGCAGCACTACATGAACTTGCCAGGAGTGGACACCACTTCGGTCCTTATCTGGGAGGCCCTGTGCTCTCACAATGGTCACTGTGAGCTTCTGGCTCGCAGCACTATGTTCAAAGATGACGTCTAGGTCACCACACCTTGAGATGGGCTCTGAGACCCCAGATGGCACCTGCAAATTGGTCCCATCCTGCTCCTGTTGAAGGCAGAGGAAAAGATGAGGAATGGAGATGATAATGCCCAACTACATTTTGATGAGTTGGTGCTCCTTTGTGCTTCCTCAGAATCTTATGTTTTCTGACTGTCGTGCATGTTCCCCTACATTAGAAAGCTCTGCTTACTGGTCTGTTTCTCCACATCAGACTGTGAATTCTCTGAGGGCACAGTGCCTGTCATATAGTGAGCTTTTGTGAATGTTTTTGAAGTGAATCAAGTTTTTATATTTTGCAATGTGTTTTCATATATACTCCTTCTCAAAAAGCACAATTGCCCACTACCATTGAGACCAACGTAGATACTAAGTCTAAAAATAAGTTAACCATGCAATTGCCAACAGGTGACTTTTCCTTCCATCCCTAGGAGAAATGGTCAAACCTGGGCCTGTTTTCTACAGGCCAGAATCTCCTACAGACAAGAATCTTTTTTTTTTTAAACTTCTCAAATTATGTTGTAGTTGATTTTAATGACCCCTTACCTGCTCCTCTTCCCACTTCCCTCTCTCCTCTCCCCCACAACATTACAGACAAGAATCTTACTGGGGGATCCTGGGCAGATAACCCTTTAGTATATTTTTAACCCATATGGGAGAAAAGGTTTAGGGCTGAACTTCTCAAACTTTAATGTGGACCTGAATCATCTGAGGATTCTGATTCACAGGTCTGAGGTGGGACCTAAGACTCTGCATTTCTATGAAGCTCACAAGAGATGCTGATGTTGCTAGCTCAGATCACACTTTGAGTAGAAAGAGTTTAGGAGGGCATACCCAGCAGCCACTTATCAAACAGCAACACTAGACCTGAAGCCAGAACACCTGGACTGAAATCAAAACTCTACTACTGACTAGCTTTTTGATCCCAGCCAAATAGCCCTGCCTCTCTGTACTCTGGCTGGGAAAATGCATGTTAATATGTCTACTTGGTAGAGAGTTGCTGTGAAGTTTTAATAGATGTAAAAATACCTTGCTCAGACCACACTTCATAAATATCTATTCCCACCACTGGACTGGTGCTACCTATTCTCAAACATGGCCTCTCTCCTTATGGAATATCATCCTTAGATAGCAATTCACTTGTAGCCACTCAGATCTCATGACCTCACTGGGACCTTACTGAGCTGAACTGCATTTACTATAATGAACCACCCCACCAACAAATTATAAATAATGTCAACGTGATTTCGTTTCCCTCTGGAGCCATGACTCTTACCTGTAACTAACCTTTGGGTTGATTCTTCTTATAAATCAGTTCTTATTTATGTAATTGAACAACAGACTTTGCCAATTTAGAGATATCTTCATTTCAAAATTATAATAAAACACCTCGAAAAGTGCATTTATCAGTGAAACTTTCCCACAGAGTTCAGGTAAAATACCTGGTTCTCTGGAATCAAACATCCTTAGAAAGCCCAGGTCTACCACTTATTAGCTCTATGACATTGGGCGAGTTACTTAATCTTTTCCACTTTCTGTTTTCCTCAACAGTAAAATGGAGATGATATCTACTATATAGGGTTGTTGGGAAAGGTAGAGGACTTGACATATAATATGAGGGTACTTCGAAAAGTCCATGGAAAAATAGAATTTAAAGAAAACATGAATCTTTCCATGAACTTTTTGAAGAGGGCGTAGATATCTAATAAATGCCTTTCTCTTTTAAGATTCAAATTAATCGACCAAGAAAATTTAGATTTCTTATAAAATAAGGAAAGCTTCTTATATCCTTTCTTCTGAGCATGCAATCATGTGTAAGTGTTTCTATTCAGAGGTACTTAGTTTCAAATGATAAAAGTGGTTGCCATAGAGACTTGAATACAACTGACTAGTGTGTATATAATATTAGAAGCAAGTTTCCAAGGAGTTAGGCGAACTCAAAAATCAAATCAGTTTTCTCTCAAACTCCCTTGTCTCCTCTTAAAACTCCCATCTACTTGAGCCTACTCTTCATCATTTCTATATTGCCTGCTAACGTAAATGTATAATGGCTAACATCTACTAAACCATTCCTTATGCCAGGTACCATAGCAAATCCTTTATAGACTATAAAAGGCAGCTGTTATACACTTCAGATCTTCTTGGCCTCATCTCTTATTCCATCTTCCCTAGCAAGATAGCCTGTCTGGGCTCTAAGTGGCTTCAGCCTGGCATAAACCAATAAAGTCTTATCTCCTGCCCCTACTACATAGTTCTCAGCTCTTACCACTGGCCTATTGATACCAAGGCTTAAAAAGCTGCAGAACCCTGCTTGGCACCCATGTATGTAGAGTGCATAGTATGCAGTTCTTATCTCCTGCCCCTACTACATAGTTCTCAGCTCTTACCACTGGCCTATTGATACCGAGGCTTAAAAAGCTGCAGAACCCTGCTTGGCACCCATGTATGTAGAGTGCATAGTATGCAGTAAACTTTTCTCTCCTTAATCAGATGTCCTGAGATCAGTTTATACAGCTCTTTGGAGTGTGGTCCCACGTGATCAAGCAATGAGTCACACTGCGTGGTGGCCAACTCAACTGCACATTTTCATACTGGATCTCCCTTCTTCCCTGCCTCACTCCCCTTGTCCTTTACTCTTGTTCCCTGGAACTGCATTCCCTAACAAAGCAGGGAACCAAAACCTTTGCCTTTGGCTCTGCTTCTTTGAGGAATCCAACTAAGAAACATCATCTTTTAAAAAATATTTACATCAACCTAATGAAGTAGGTATTTTAATATCTTTACTTTCTGGATGAGGAAATTAAAGCTTAGAAACACCCTCATCCCCCATGCCACAATCCTATGTCCAGCCAGGATTGTCCAGCAGTCTGAGTCCACAGCCTGCCTTAACCAGTATTCGATACTCAAAATCTCAAACCTTATGTTGAAACATAAGGTCTCCCTTCTTCTCCCCTGAACCTTTCACCGTAGCTATCTATGTATATTAAGTGGGTAAGATAGAGAGGGAAGAAGATGGAAGGTGGGAGTTGGAAAAACATGCTACTGTGCATTCCACATCCTTTTAGGCCTGAGTCTTGATATTAGTTAACAGTTCCTAGTTTTATCATCAACTTCAAGGCCAAGGTAAAAATATCCTAGTTAATGAGGATCTCTGCACTCATCTCTCAGGTTATCTATTCAAATAAACACCCATTCCACCTGCAGGTTTCTGGGGGTATCCTGGGTAGAGCTGGGCAGTACTTGTCCTGGAACTTTGAAAAAGGCACAGCTCCAGGCAACGGCCAGGCTCTGGATGAGCCAGTCCAAGCTGCAACCCATGAAAACTGGGCTTTGTAGCCCATAGCTAGTTCCTGGGTTAATCTGAGACAAAGATATGTAAAGGCTGGCATTTTCATAGCAATTAATTATTTCAACACGCTTTACCTATCACCAGGCAACCAAAGAAGCTCCTTATGTAGGTACTGTTAATACTGCTAATCCATCTGACCTTCCTGCAAAGTAAAAATCTCTTCGTTCTTATCCCCATTTGGCAGATTTTAATTAACTTTTCAAGGCCAACCAATTAATCGGTGGAAAGCAGAGATGAAAAGTGGGACAGTTGTCTCTCTATGTGCTCAAAATCACCAGCCACCTTCTATAGTCTTCCTGGCCAAGCCCGGGGTCTGCAGGAATAAAGAAATGGCCTTTTCCAGCAGAGAAAATCATCAGCCTGACAGGTAGTCACACTGCATGACTGGCTTCCTTCTGAGGCAAAATAAATAATTCCTTGAGCTCTAATATTCTGGGTTTTTCTTTCAGATGGGAATTCTTATGTCAAATTGTCCAAACTCATGTAGATTTAAAGATTTTCCATCAAATTGAAAGCCTTTCTGTTTTAGTAAGATGGTGTTGATGTTATCTGTGTGGCACAAAGTAAACAGACCCACAATATGTTCTTTATGCCAGATACACGAGGGAACATGGGGCTCTTAATACAGCTAAGAGGCAAAAAAATCAATTGTTAAAAGGCAAGCTAAGTCTGCAAAGCAGTTACGAGAACTGCCTCTCAGTTGGATTTGAAGTTCTACTGTAGGAGCACCAAATTACAGCTTTTGTCTCAAAATAGGTAAGGAAGTTGAATGGAGCACACAGAGATGTCTGGGTATTTTTGGAGTCTGGGAACATTCAGTACTCTCAACACCAAGTCTTCTATTAAAGCTCTTGAAGGCAGGTAAATGGGAGGTTACCTGGAGAAGGCAATTGCAAGCCAAATGGCACAATTATAAAGGACACAGAGTATCAATACACAGGCATATAGTTCTCTTTTGTTGTTTTGTTTTCAAATATTTTTAAATGTTATTTTTAAATAACAAAATATTTCTAAATGTTATTGTATGGAATTTGATATGACTCTTACTAGTAAACAGATGGGAAACGGACTTTTTTTTAATAAAACTTAGAAAGTTAATGGCTTTGGATTCATCTATTTGAACAGCTGCTTTTAACAAGCTGCAAGTTGTGTGTCTGAGTTACCATTTCTGGTCCTCAACAGAAACATCAACACAGGGGCATGGATGTACATCCACACATCTCCTTACACACGCCCTACACACCCCAGCGTGTTAGCAGTAAGGCTTTGGAACATGATTTTCTGTGACTTTTTCTCTTTTCCTTGAGCATTTAGTGTATGTGACAGCCCAAGTCCTAATAAGAGATTTATCCTATTTATTTTCTCAGACTAATACTAATAAAATCCATTCAGGTTTCTTCTCCTTTCTCCATCCCCACAAATAATGTTAAAGTTTTATATGACTTATTTCATCAAAATTAATTTCAAATTATGTATTAAACACTACTATTTAACACTTTCCAATGTCATTCAATCATAATAGGAAGGATCTATCTAGCAAAGAATAACCACAAGTGCCTCTAAGATAAAATGATGTTTGTAAAATACTCTTTACAGTCCTTGGCATGTAGTAACTCTGAATAAATGGTAGCTACTACCATTAACACCTCCAGTCATATCACTGGATGGTTAGGCATATTCTGGACTAATATTTAATTGGAAAAGAAATTAGAAGTATCTTTTATCAGATTTATTCTAAAAAGCAATGTCAATGGCCAGAGAGTAATTGCAGATTAATGCTGTCTTCTAGACCTTTGATTCAATTCAAAGCTAACAAATATACTCACACTGCAAGACCCTCATAATAATCTCTTGTATAATTTAATTGGAGGACCATTCATTTTGTTTTAGTTCAATTTTCAAATAATTTCCATATTCAAATAATCCATAACTCATGATTTGGGGTGAATAAAAATAGACGCCACTTAATTGAAACCATGGAGAAAATAAACCAGTCTCTCTAAAGAACCAAAAATTCCTTTATATAAAATTAAGCCTGTAAAAAGCCTTTACACAAAAGAGAAGTCTGACTGCTGCTGGGTCTATTCTGCCACCATTCTTATTCTTTATTTTTTTCCACCATTTTTTTTCCATTTTAAAAGAAATTTATGGCCGGCCCGGTGGCGCACTGCTACAGTGCGCCGCTTGGGAGTGCGGCGGCGCTCCCGCCAAGGGTTCGGATCCCACATACAGACCGGTTCCCGCTCACTGGCTGAGCGAGGTGCGGCCGCAACACCGAGGGTTGCAATCCCGTTGCCGGTCCCAGTCCAGTACGGGCGCGACAATGAGGGTTGCAATCCC